ACTTCTGGGTATTTATTCAAAGAAAGTAAAAACAATAACGTGAAAAGATATATGCACCCCTTGTTCATATGCAGCATTACTTACATTAGTGAAGATATGGAAACTATGTAAGTATCCATTGATGGATGAATGGATAAAGTGATAGTGGTATATGTATATAACAGAATATTATTCAGCCATAAAAAAGAAGGAAATCTTGCCATTTGTGACAACATGGATGGATCTCAAGAGTATGGTGCTAAGTGAAATGAGTCAGACAGAGAAAGATAAATACCCTGTGATCTCTTACATGGGGAATCTAAAAAATGATAAATAGAGTAAAAGAAAACAAGCTCACAGAGAATACATAGTGGTAGCCAGAGGTAGGGGGTGGAGGGTAAGAGAAATGAGTAAATTGTCTTTTATTCTAAATAAGTTGGAAAAACATTTATGTTATTACTTCCAAATTGTTATTTTGTATATTTAGCTATTTCATATATTTAAATGTATATAGCAATAAATGATCTAATTCATCAACTTCTTAGACTTATAACATCAAAACATATAAGTACAGCATTTAGATAGCTCAGTTTCTCATATTTTGTAAATGAAAAATTTTCTCTTCAATAAGACTGATACTTGTCCTTCTTTTTTCACTGAATATCAATTTACTTAATCATAGAATGAAGTAAGTAAGGTTAAGACTTCTCAACTTAGATGGTCCAAGGGACTATCTGTGTAGCTCTTTAAGTACAATGACATCTCCCCAGCCAGCAGAAAAAAAGAGTTGATGTAGGAATCAATTGTCCATTATGCTGGACATTATAATCATATTGTCCAGTATAATGGACAATTGATTCCCACATCAATACTAAAAAGATTATTTTAGTAAATCCTGAAAAAGAAATGAGGCCTAAACCAATCATTTAGATGTCATTGATACTTTTATGTATAAAAGGGATCTCTATATAAAAATATTTATGTACATATATCATGGTTTATAAGTACTAGAGAGTAATTCTCTAATTAAAATCCATTCTTAATTGGATATAGTCTGGACAAATTTCATTTTTAATATTAAACAGGACAGGAATTTCTCAAGTATCCACTAAGGAATAGGATCAAATGACTTTGGAAAAGTACAATTTTATTTTTAACATCTTAATGGTTAGTGAATTTGAGAAGCTAAAAGCAACTTCTCTGCTTTTCAGTATTTTGCTATGCATACTTTTGGTGGAAGGAGGTGGTTCAACACACAAGGCATGTGTATTTACATTTTTTGTTTGGTCTCATCGTTGTATTCTTTGATGTTCCAAGTTTTCTATTTAAAATTCTCATTATAACTTTATATAAACTATCACAGCTTTTAAAAAACACATTTGGAAATTTCAGAAAACATAGAAGAGCTTGAAAAGGCTGCAAAAAAATATTGGAGTCTGATCAACTTGGCATTCTCACTAGGTAGTTCCTACGGTGGAAATAAAGAAAATAAACAATTGCTAAATATGAAGGCCCAATAAAGCAGCAGGGGTGCACAGTATGGGAGACTTCCCAGTATGGAAAGTGCTGTCTGGGCAGTCTTTGCAGTCACACCCACAACCACAAATACCATCTTGACATGTGAACAATGACAGCAACAAGACATCATTGTATTGTGACCTGAAGGACTGACAAAGGCTCATCAAGGAAAAAATATTGGGGTGGGTATAGTTCCATTGAGTATAGTTACTTTAGAAGGGGATCAGAGTATAGACTTCGGGAACACAAGGAATGGAGTATTTTCACCAAACCAAGCCTATTTTTTACTCAGTTTCAGCTCTGTGAATTATACATATTTTAAAAAAATAACATACATACTGAAAATGTACATTTTATGATTAGAAGCAATGGTTCTCAAATTTTAACATTCATCAGAAAGGCCCAGAGGATCTATTAAATTAGGGCAGGTCCCATGAATTTGTAAGTTCCCATATGATTTGATGTCTCTGATCCCAGGCCACATTTTGACAACCACTGGTTTAAACAAAGTCTTATTCACTTTTCTTTAGAAAATAGCTACTTCTATGTTGTTACAGGGCTCTTAATCCTTAATTTTGACTAAAGGTAGCTCAATATGTGAAGTGATCATAAGTGGGATTCCACAACAGTGAAGTACAATACCAGGGAGAAATCTTGTAATTAAAAAAAAAAAAGTGCTAATGGTTTAGACGATGATACAAGTTAGAAGAATCCTTTTCATCTGTCCGCTCCAAGACTGCTTTCTAGTTCCTCAATTGGTAAATTACAAAGCTATTCCCTCCCTGGAATGCAGGGGGTTAAGCTTTCTCCTTCATCTTCAAATACTAGTCCTAGTCTAGAGAACATCATCATCTTTCCAACAAAACACATTTACGTTTCTTCAAATCAATAAGGAAATGTTGATATGTTTTGTTTTTCAACTGAAAAACAAGTACCGTAAAACTAAACCTCTTTTAGAGAGGAAACATTTGTTTTTATTGTTTTGGGGGTAGGGGTCGCCAGCAGGTGATGGACTTGTAGCTGTACTGAAAATAGTACAAGGAAATAGCCATAGAAGAAAACAGTTCCGTATTTAGTAGGATTTGGTGTTGGGTTTTCCCCACACAGTGCAGGCTAGGTGAAAGATAGAAGGAAATTCTTTCAGGCCTCACAGGCCAGCCTTGGTGCAATAAACCAAAACCAAGGCCTATTATGCAACACAGGTGTTTGCAAATAACCAGATGATTTGTTAATCTGGGCAACACAGGGAGACAGATTCTGAGGCTGAAGAAATAGCAACTCTGCCATGCGAGTGGGAATCGTGAACTCCTAGGATGGTGACAGTACTTTGAATGCTGAGTATGATTTAATTTAATAAATATTTGTTGGATGTTTTCTGCATTGAAGTAACAAAGCATTTCTGACATTACCAGACTCTTACCTACCCAGCACTCTGTATTCATAAGTATTCACTGTGGGTATTTTCCACTTAACATTAACATTGAAACAACCTGGTATGGAGAATTAAGTTGTTATAACAAGGGTTACTTGCTGTTTGCCAGGATCAGACTTTCTGCAACAGTGGACTCTGAACTCCAGGAATAAAATGTTTTGGGGTTCTCTAAATGAGTCCCGGTCTAAATAAATCTCGTTTATGAACAAGTCTACATGATGGGATAATTTAAAGTTTAAATTGTCCATTCAACAAACGGAGAGTACCAACATTTCAGCAGATGTACTCTGCCCTGGAAAGCAATAGTGAACAGAGCCAAGTGCCCAGCCTCTGTGGGTTATAAATTAGTAGAAAGATACACACTCAACAGAAACAAACTCTATATGAAACACGCTAAATGGAGGCATAATCAGAAATGGTCTGAATGATAGGGACGGGGTGGCACCATGAGGCGTGTGTGTACCATGGTAGATAGAGTTGATGGCTTAACTGTTCAACTACCAACCCACAAAAATGCCACTTAGTCCTGTTTATTAACAAAGTACTTGCTACTAGTCTTATTAAAAATAATCTGTGGTCAACTTTAATGTAGGAGAGTAAGAGGAGAAAAAAAAGGTCTAGAACCCTGAAAAAGTCATAGCTGAATGGAGAAAATAGATAAACAATAGAGAAAAAAACAACAAACAACCAGGGGTACTGTCGCAGCACTGAACGATTGTAAACGATTTTTCTCAATAATTTCTACCTAATTTGCTTATTGTAAGGTATTTTCCTGTGCTAAAATTTCTGCCTGGAATAGCAGAAAACTAATCGTGTAAGACTGTTACATGATCTCATCACAGTTATAAGTGCGCTGGAACCAGGCCAAGGGCCAAAAAAGTCTGTGACCGAGGGCTGTAATCCGGACGGCAAGTGAACAGAGATTTCTGTAGTTAGGAGCCAAACGTCCATTGTGTTTGCACCCACGTTCGATAACACAAAGTCCATTAGAGTAACACAAGGTTGTTGGATTCGTGGCAGACCACCTTAGCAGCAACTGTGTTCTCCTTTGCAAACTTTATTTCGCGAGGTCAGCTTTGACCGTGCGTGGAAGCTCTCCTTCCACGAATATGTTATTTAACCACAACCAGCTAGGATGGGAACCGGTAACCTGGGCATCGAGGGCCTTTTAATTCACAGTAGGTAACCTATAAACGTAGGTACCCTGAAACCACTCACAACCGGAAAATCAAAGCCGGACGGCATGCAAACCACCAAGCCCACTAGTGGGCTGGAGGGGCGCACACACTGGAAAGCGCTGGCACAAAAATGAAGACCTTCTGACTTTCAGGCATACTAAACCCCACTTCCAAGTGCGCCTAGCTCATTTACCGCCAGGTTCCCGGGCAGCGTTTTCTCAGCCGTCCTTTCCCTTTGCCAACTGTCTAATCCCTCTTCCTGAAAACCTCTCTCTCCCACAGTGCGCTCGGGGACGTCTACGCAGGCCACCAGAAACCCGCTCGGCACGCACTTCACCGCTCCCAACTCCTCAGTTCGCTCAAGGACGATCACGTTAGGTGTGGGAACAAGCCCGACTCCCGAGCCAGGCCGGGCACGCAGGGAAACGCGCGGGCCCGACAGCGGAAGCGTTAACGAGGGGCGATGGGGAAAGTTCTAGACTCTCAGCGGTCGCTTCAAAGTGGCACAATACTGTGAAAAGTCCTTGCTCTTGCGATTAATCGGGGAGCACTCTCCACAACGGCTTCCGCAGAGTGACCCGCGGGGAACCACCCTCGGAGGCGTCCCGACACCGAGACGCCCCATCCCGGAGCGCGGCGTGGGACAACCGCCTCCGCAGCCGAGCCCTCCCCCTCCCCTCCAGCTCCTCAGCTCCTCCGCGTCCGAACGCCGGCAAGGGCCGAGGAGGGCGATGCCCTGTTCTCGCGGGATCTCGCTCAACCGGGGCCGTCCCTAAGTCTCCTCAAGACCTCGCGTTGTTTGGGTGTGGGGGCGGAACCATCCCGGGTGGGGGGTGGGGCGGAGCCGGAGGGGGGCGTCCCCGAAGCCTTGTTGACTCCGGCGTCTTCCCGGAGCGGTTCTCGCGCCCGGCGCTGTGCGCATGCCTGGGTTCCCGACGCCTCCCCAGGCCGCGGCGGTCGGGCTTCCCTAGCGGCGGGTGCGGCCCCGCCCCTCCTCCGGGCGGCAGCGGCGGCGGCGGCGGCGTGCGCGGCGGGCGGCCGTGGAGTCCGCCGAGTCCTAGCGTCTGGCCCTGCGCGGCGCTGCGGCGGGCCGGACCGACCGTCTCGCCGCAGGTAACGCCGCTGCCTGCAGACTCGGGGTCGTGCGGGTCGGCGTGTCCCGCACGCTGGAGTGTCGCGGCCGGGCGGGGAGGTCGGGGGCTGGGGAGGCAGAGGCGGCTGGAGGTTCCGAAGGGGGCCGGGAGGTTGGCGGTCGGGGTCGGAAGGGTCGCGGGCGCGGGGAGTCGAGGGCGGCCGAGGGAGTCTGGAGGGGTCGAGGGGTACGGGAGGTGGGGGCGGGTGGTCCTTGGGCTCTGACCCGGGCTCGGGGACCTGGCCTTCCGGGCGCTGCGGTCCGGAGACACCCACGGGCCCCTTCGGGCCTTTTCAATTCCACCCCGTGACTTTCTGTTGTTGTTTTGATTTGGAAGGAAGCGACTCCAGCCTACGTAGGCTCGGGGAAGCCTGGGGGTGTGTGTGTGGGGGGTGGGGGGGTGAGGCTGGGAGGGATCTGCGAGGCTGGAGCAAGCGCTAACATTTTTCTTACTTTCTGTTTTTTTGTTTGAGCGTTTACTACTGTTCAAGCGTGGTGCTCGTTTTTTAGGGTATTTCGAACCACTGACGTAGAGAGGATCCCTGAGTACAGCCAGCGGGAGTAATTTTGCAAATCCAAGATTTTTTTTTTAACTTCTAGTGCTGTATTTTTGTAGGTCTTTTTTTTTTTTATTTTAAACGGAAATCCTAACTATGTTTTTAAAATTGCACGTTTTAAGAATTTGGGTACGGAGGGGAAAGTATAGTTTTACCAATGGTTATTTTGCGCCGTTTTTTTTTTTAATAAAAATACTACGTGCTCTTTAAGAAAAAAATTAAGCAGCTAAACAATGAAGACGTCTGCTCCCTCCCCCCCTGCTCCCCCTCCCCCCCATTTTCCTCTTTTACTACCCAGGGTAATCAGTCTACAAGTGTGGTGGTTAGCCGTTCGGAATTTTTCTATGCGTGTAAGTATTCTTTACCAAGAAAATTTGGGATCATACATAGTATATGCTTTTTATTGGCCAAGGATCCTCACATTTATTCCTCCATTTTATTACATACCTTATTCTTTATAAGAGCTGCATAGCTATGTTGGCTTTTTAACATTGTATCGAGTTTTTCGGTAATCTTTAGCTATTATTAAGTAGTTTTTAACAAGGGTTACAAGCTGCTATTTTGAAACATAGTGTGGTAAAACTTTCAGATTGTCTAAGGCCAGATGGGGATACTTACTTACTAGGCAAGTTAAGTAACATGTTTACACAGAGCTTGCATGAAGCTCGGGTGACTGCATAAAGCAGGTTTCTAAAGTAGTTTCTGTTTTGTGTTTTGGATAGTGCATTTTTCAAGGTGAATTTAAATTCCATATGCAAACAAATTCAACTCCTTAAACATGAACCTGCTCCTGTGAAGAAAAGGTAAAAGATAGAAGGCCAGTGGCCCAGAAGTTTGAATTTCAAACAGGTTAAAAAACAAAACAAAACCTCAGAGCAGCCAGGGACTGAATATTTTGATAGTAGACCCTAGGGAGGAAGCTGTGAGTGAAAGGGTATTACTCTGCTTACTATTAAAGAAGACAGAAAGCTAGGAAATTCTCACCTTTTGTATTTCTGTGCACAGAAGTGCTGAAGGCTCTGTTGATCTAATCACTGGCGTGTATTTACTAAAATTGTGCTGTGCTGGCTTCCAGGGAAAACATAGACCTGAATAAGATAATCACAAAGAAGTCTGGTTCTAAAAGCACGTATATGCCCTGAAATCTTAGGCCCAGTTGTGTAATTTTTTTGGGAGCTGTGGTTGAAAAGGAGCCAAAGTGTCTATGGCATTTTAGTTACAGTTGCTGGTAATAATCTGCTTTTTCTTATTTACTTCTAACAACATAGGTGGCATTCTCCCCAATCTGAGGATTAATACACAGGCTGTGATAGATGAACTTAACTGCTCAAGATCTCATCACCTTTTTAGTGGTGGTGACTGCAGGAGATTCCGGCTTAAGCCAAGAACCTGTGTTTTCTACTCTGCTGTGTCGCCTTTCGTTAATGAACACTACCTTACAAAATTTTCAATCTTAAGAGTTTTTGCCTCTTTTTGGGCTTCCTTACGAATAGAGATGTTCCTTATGAAATAAGAGACATGAGTATCATCGTATGCATTGAAAAATAGTCTAAAAGATAGCATGGACTCTGGTATCCTTTTAGATGAGGTTTCTGGTGCTGTATTAAAATATACCTGGAGCTGATGTCACTAACTATGTCAGAACTGTTATTTTAGTCACTCTGATGCCCTGCTAAACTTGGATAGCGTAGTAAGTTGTACTTATTACAGGTGTTTTATGCCTTACAAACTGGATGGATAATCTCATATAAGTTACCATTTTTATGAATTATAAACTAGTAAGATAATATAAAGGCCTTAAAAATTAAAGTTTACTTATTTCATTTTAGTATTTTGTAGTTTCTTAAAAGCACATCATGACAATTCAATAAAGTGCAGGCCCTAATATTATGGTACATTAATCTCTTTCAGTTTTCTAGTGTATGTGACAGTTGTATTTTAAAGAAATGTGACAGATACTGAAGTTAATAAAATATGATCAGTTGTAATTTGTATTTGAGAAGAAACCCACATATGGGAAAACATTTGAGCTTTTATTTCTTGGTGATTGTTAAGGATGGTAATTGGATTCTTATCTAAGTGGTGTAGCTGCTCTTGATTATCTCTTGGACAGCTTACACTGAATGAGTAGGTTTTATAGTTGTGGGATACAAAAATGTTTCAGCACCAGAAAGACATCTTTAGAATGTGTTAAGATCTATTGATTTTTCAGCTGTCGAAGGGTGGAGAATGCAATGCTACATGTGTGTATTTTCAAGAATTAATCGATCTTACTGCTGATGGAAAGAAATAGAAAGTTTATTTTGCAGTTTAGCTTGAAAGTCTTTTTTGGAGACACATTCATGTGTCCCCTCCCCCCCCCCCCCCCAGTCAAGAAACTATGTAGGTTCTATTAATGACAACAAAAGAAGCATTAGGTAGGATCCAGAGTTTAAAATGTAGTTGGGTTTTGATTTTTTTGTTTTACCGTTTATTCAGTTTTGAGAAACAGCGTGAGGAGGGAGAGGAAGAGAGGGTAGACAACAGAATCCAAAACAGGCTGTCAGCACAGAGCCTGATGTGGGGCTTGAATTCATGGACAATGAGATCATGACCTGAGCTGAAGTAGGTCACTTAACCTTAAGACTAAACCACCCAGGCATCCCAAAATGTAGTTGGGTTTTAAAAACTGTTTAAATCAGCTCTTGTGGAATTGCATAGGGGATTGCTGTTCCCTGAATGTTCTGTTTCTAGGGAGAAACTAGTTAAGATGAAAGAAGCCAAAATAGAAGGGAGAAAACCTGAGAATTGGCTGTGTCAAGTAGACAGAGGGAGAGGGTTTCCTGAAATAGTCGGTAATCAGTAGAGTCAGATGTGTGGATGGATGTCAAGGAAGATGAAGACTTAAAGGTTCTACTTCTTTGAGCTTTGAGATACTGGAAAAATACCTAATTATAATTATATAGCGTTAGCTGTGTCTTGCTGGCGGTTGAGTTGGAATAATTAACACTTTTCAGTAACTTGCAGGCTCTTCTAAACGTATAATAATCACATCATCAGAAGTCAGTTTATAATCTAAGGTACATGAGCATCTGAAGAGCCATGGAATCCGGAGTGCTGGAAGCCTTCGTCTTCTCTGTAACTTGCACAAGCCAGCACCTCACACTTGTACCTTCTTGTGGTCTTTGTGCGGTTTCTCATCTCCTTTCTCTACAAGTGTAACTTTAGATTGACTTCACATCTTCCTCTTTAGGGTCGCGTTTTCTCTTTTCTAGTCATGCATACACGCACGGTGCCCACTGTCCTTCCCTCCCCTGCTGAAGCTCCCGTTCTGCACCACCTGCCTCTTCTTTCCTAAGCTTCAGACTCGCCTTCTGTTCTCCTTGATAAACTGTAAGTAACTCTCATTTTGTAATCTGGAATTAGAAGATTCAGAATTAAACTGCCTCCTTTACAGATTTAATTTTTGCCCCATTTTCTTGTTTATTTTCATGATCTTAACACTTTCTTAGTCATCCAGGCTTAAAATCAAAGGTTACCTTTGATTCTGCCCTCTCGCCTTTTCTCAGAAATTCTTTGGACTTTTACTGCATTATGGTTCAGAAATCAGGTTCTCCTGCAGCTTTTCCATTTTCCCAGCAACAAAATACTTTTAATCCCTTTGCCTCAACTGCCATTAATGGAGGAGACATCCCTAATCTCTACGTTTTGCCATTCATCATGTGCACTGCTATTGAATTAATTGTTCTAAAGGCAGCCCTGATCATGTTTTCCCTGCCTGACAGAAGCAAACAAAATCAAACACACTTCTTGAGTGTTTCTTATGTCAGCCTTCGTGCTGGATGCTTTGTTCTCATTTGGTTGTCATAGTAGTTTTATGTCGTAGGTACTACTTATCACTCCACGGATGAAGACACTTGCACTTCACGAGCCTGGAGGGTTGCTAGTAGGTAGAAAAGCTGGAGTTTGAATCCCAAAAGTGCCTTCCAAACACTGCTCCTCCACTGAGCGGTGCTGATCAGCTCAACAGTGAAGTTCTCGGTCCCCAGTGAGGCCTTTCAGAACTCCATTATCTGGCCTCCATGCTCTTTTTCGAATTTAATTCTTGTTTTATTCAAAGTTGGGTTTACATTCTTTCTTTTACATTCTTCTATAAAAGAAAGAATGTAAACTCTTGGTTTTTCATGCATTTCCACTTAGATTTTTCTCCCTTTCCTTTCTCTGCCTTCTGAAGTCTTTCAAGTGAAAGGCTTCAAGTAGAAAGGCTGGCAAGTGCACCGTGTTTCCTCTTCTCTGTCCTCAGGGTGCTAAGGTCTCCTCTACTCCTGTGGTTGCTTAACCTTGTGGTGATAACTGTCTGTGCTCAATTTGTCCTTGAGTGCTCTAGCAGTCGTTACTGGATTATAAAATCCTGGAAGCAGAACCCCTGTCTTACTGTTGTCTCT